TTAGCAATGGCTGGCCACCAACCAAGTGGTTCATCTTCTTTAGCTTTAGAGAGTACCTAAATAAATAAGAAAGACATCGATATAGCTATGTAATTTCGATAGATAGTTTCGAAAAAACATACTTCGCATTGATCTCCAGGTGATAATTTTTTGAGATCACTAGATTCAGGCGGAAGTCGAAGGCGATTCTCGGAAAATGGAATTTTTGTTGGAGGGAAAAAACTAATAAATGAAAAGAATAATTGTATTTTTAAAATTTAAATCATTTGATTAATTTACTCTTGATCATATTTAACATCGACACCACTTTCGTCCATACCAATTACATATGCCTATGAGTAAAGATATGTTATTCATATAAACAATATTGGTTTTACTCACTTTGTAGTAGGCACCATTTGGATGTCCTACTTCAACGCTGAGATCGTCCATTTTATATTTAATTAAGTACCCTATTAGAAATAATTATATTTGATCAGATCGAACGCCTTAATGAGGCGGCAACAACAATAGAAAATAGTATAATATATACACTCTAATGCATGCAATTGACAATCGACTAATATATTTCTGTTTTTTCTTTTGTATAGAAAAATAAGAGATATTATCTTGAAAAGAATAAGAATATATATATATTATACAACAGATCATACAAAATGAAATCGTAAAACTAGTTGTTAATTTCCAACATGCTGTTTTGTAGGAAAAAATCTCTTTTTTTTTGTGACTTCAATGATAAAACGATAAGAAGAGTGGACTGATGGTGCCTGTCTGGGTTTTTTTTTCTACTTTTCTATGTCTAATAAAAAAAAGAGTTCGTATAAGAGTAGAAATGTAAAGAGAAATTGTTTGTTTATTTGCTTTTTTTTCTCTTCTCTTACTAATAACTAGTGGCTACTAGGTTATTCAATGGTAAATTATGGAATAAACCTCTATTAAAGATAAAAATGGCAGAAAAAAAGATGAAATTTTAATTATGAATTGATATGTTTTAAAGATTACAATTAGTTTCAACAGAGATTTACTTTCAGCTGAGATAATCATAAAAATATATTTAACATCTTAGATGTCGCACCGTAACATATTGACTCAAGGTTACTGTAAAGATGGAAAAATAAAAAAATAAAAAAATAAGAGAATTTAGTATATGTATGTAATCTTAAGAACACCATGATAATTAAGTTTGCTTTTGTAATGGATGAATCGGTTGCGATGATGATGATGTTACTGTTGTAATAGGCAAAATTGCTGCCGTATGTTCAAATGCATTATTTGTTTCCGATAAGTCATGCACAGTTTGTTCATAAGATGGTGGTTTGTCATATAAAGTCTCAGTTACTGTTGTACTATAAGTAGGTGGATATACATAACCCTGTGGCATTTGTTGTTGATCTTCGGTATTATTAATTGGAACAACTGTTGACATAGATATTTGTTGTTGTTCTAGAATAGAAAAGGAATAGATTCGAAATAAAAGTATCATTTAATTCTCTATACCTCTTCTAACTTGTTTTAATTTATATCGACGATAAATAGCAATTAAAAGGACCAAAATTAAGATACACACAGGTATAACAATTCCTACGGCACTAAAAAAAAAGGAAGTGATTCTTTTCGTTCTCATTCTTGAATATTGTAATTTATTTACATATAAACACCAACATTTGAACCACAATAGACATATTGATTTGTCCAACTATTAAAACATTGAGCCATATTTACTCAAACGATAGGCAAAATATACAATAATACGCAAATTAAAACGTTGTATCTATCTTTTCTTTTTTCCTTCAAATGATATACATCGTTAATTACCAATACTCTCGTATAATATGTACTTCATATGACTAACGAATCTCATTTTTTTTTCTTCTTTTCTCTTTTTATTTTGTCACGTCAAGTGACAAATCGATACAATACAGGTATATATACAAAAAAGAAAAAGGCGCATCCTTTATTATTCGTTAGATTTTTTCATCTGTATCGTTCGTTCGATGATGACATTTAAGTACACATATTAACTGCAAGGTTATATTGTTATGTACGCCTATTAAATAAATTAAATCAGTTATTTTTGTTTAAAAACTTGTTTAATATTTTGTGAAATAAAAACAAAAAAAAGTATTTATTTCAATGTCTATCATTGAATATACGGTTTATCGTAAATACCTTTCAGGTGTACAAGCTATAGCAAAATCGTTTTTTCCTCTTTCTACTCAAATAGGAAGTATTTTTTGTTATTGAAAAATTAATTGTGATAAATCATATTCTATAATAATATAATTAGATAAAATTAAACAAACATAATAATTGGAGATAGATGGGAAAATATGATTATATATAGCTAGATCAATATATTAATATGGGAATTATATGAATAGATCCGAGTTTAATGAGATTATCACAAAAATTTTGTAAATCAAATTAAATAATTTCTTGTTGAAATTAATATTATATGAGAATAGAAATATTTCGAACGATATACATTAAATTCATATCAATCTTTTATATATTTCTCTCACGAAAACATTCTTAGATTTATTTTTGCTTGGATATATACATAAAAAATACTTGGTTATTTATTTAAAATTGAGAAAAAAAACAAACATCAGAAAAGACTATACACAATAATTCATAATTCGTTTATTATCAGTATAGGAGTTCTAATAATATGACGAATTATTTTGTGGGAGGACCAGCTTTACCAGCTGCATCACCGGGACGAATTCCTGGTTGAGCGGAATCTTGATGGCCAAGTAAATTTTGGCCTGGTGTTATATTTTGTGTTACTGCTGTTTCATGTAATTTCGCATCAGCTTCTTGTTCTTTAAATGTAGCTTTTGCTTTTTCACCTTCATGACCAATTGTACCATCTTCGGCAACAGGTACGCCTTCCCGTTTCTCGATTTCTAATTGTGGTGCACTTGCCATTTGTCTTGCTTGTGTGTAAACGTAAAGAATGATTTTATGAAAAATGACTTCGGTAAGTTTATAAAGTACAAAATTCTTTCTTTTTTTTCTTCTTATTCACATGATTGTTGTTATGGTGATGATAGACAAAAGGCACATGCATGACGTTTTTTTTATTCATCAGAATCGAGCAAACACAAATATATGTGTAAAAGAGAAAAAAACCGAGACAAAAAAAAAAGAACAAGAAGAAGGAAGGATTATTCATTTAAATTTGTTGTTTGTAATAGGTAAATATTATAGCCGATAATATGAAGAAAATACAAGAAAACGAACTTACACATATACATATATAGTAGTTTTTATTTTTTTCATATGAACTGAGATTGTTTTGCTTTTTTTTCTTTTCGTCACAAAGGCAAATAAACAAGTACACAATTATTTTTCTATCTACTCTTAACAATTATCAGACATGTAATTTGAAGGATAAGCAAAGACAAGTATACGAAAAAACATTCTAATCTAATACATGCAGAAAAGAAAAGAAAAAACACCTAAACCTGCCGTACAGGTATCACTGAGAAGAAGAAGAAGAGCTAATGTAGACAGAATTCGCCTATATGGAAGAAGACATAGTTTCCTGATGGGAGGACAAGGAGCACCAACACACTTGAGAGAAAGATATAGAGAGATAGAGAGAGAGAGAGAAAAGAAAAATAAATGCGGGACATACACTCACTGTTAATTAAAAAGAAAAGAGTAATTGCAATTTGAAATGTTTAATTTTTAATCCAAGTATGTTCAAGTATTGATTCAAGTGATGGTCGTCTATCAGGATTTTGTGCAAGACATCGTTGAATTAAATTTTTCAATTCAGCTGATAAATGTGATTTTAATGCTAATTTATATCCAGTTATTTCATCTTCATTTTCAAATGGTAAACTACCACATACCTAAATAAATATATATATATAAATAAAAATTTTTGTAATCAATAATTATTACAAACCATATCATAGAGTAATACGCCAAGTGTCCATACAGTTGATGGTACACCTGTATAACGTTTTCGTAAAATATATTCCGGTGATTTATATTGTTTTGTTCCATGAAAATCTGAATAAAATGATACTGGTGATTTGTATATAGCACTAGCACCAAAATCAATTAATACAAGTGATTCTGTATCAAGATCAACTAGAATATTTTCACTTTTAAGATCACGATGAACAACACCTTTTCTAAAAAAAGCAACAAAAAAAAATTATTCTAATTATATCCGATATACTAATCACATGTCTCATATAATTTTTATAAAAAATCAAGTTGCACTTGACTTTTACTTTTTTTTTCTAAATGAAACTCATATACAAGCTGATACATTTTACACTTGAAAATCTCTTCTGTAATATGAATATTCTCAGTCATCTTGACACTCAAGTCTTTAATTTATTTTTAGAGAATTAAAAATTTATTAATGAGAACAGCTGTTGCCAATATTGACAAGTATTTCAAGGACAATTATTTATTTACCGTAACATTGCTAAATTAATTTGAACTAGTTGATGAAAAAATTTTCTTGCTGCAATTTCACTAAGACGTCCACGATCTCTTGATTCTAGATAATCAAATAAATCTTGACAATTACGTAAACGTTCCATAACTAATATCCAATGTTCAGCATTCTCAAAATAATCATACACATGAATAACTCCTGAAATATATACACATACATACATTGATTTTTAATTGAAGAAAAAAAAAACAAACCTTGAATTTCATGCACAGCTTTATGTAATAAAATTTCTGCTGGATATTTTTTTTGATTAACCATTAACCAATTTTTTGTTTTATCTTTTGGAATAAATTTAATAACAACTGGTTTATTATCACTTATACGAGTTCCTTCATGTATATCTGAAAATCCTCCACTTCGAACAAAATCTCCCAGTTGATAAAAATCACAAAAATTTGATTTAATAACATCAAAACGAACCATATTAAATAAATTTTGTTCAATTGTTAATGTATCAACAGTTGGAAGATAATGGCCAGCTGATTTAATTGATGATAGAAAATCTTTTTTTGTTGGAGGATTTGTTGATGATGATGACGATGATGTTGACGTTGACGATGATGATGATGACGAACAACTTGACGTAAATGGCATTTGTTCACGATAACTATTAAAACATTTCATGATTGTTGATGATGTTGAATTTGTTTCATTTAAATTTGTTGATGTTGTTTGATCTTGATCATGATAATGACCAACTGGTAAGATACGTGTTGACATTAATGATGATATTCCTGTCTGTTCGTTTATTGATGATGATGATGAAGATGATGAAAGTGAAAATACAGCTACAGATTTCTGTGTTTTGTCATTTAGATTTACCGAGTCCACTTCAGATGAAATATTACGATCTTCTAAAAACAAAAATATCGCATAGAAAATATTATATAAAAAATAAGAGAATATTATATATATAGACACAAACGCTTGTTCTGTTTGCATATAGTTTGACCGTTTGAAGGCAAATTGTACAATTGGCTATTTTTCTTTTCTTTTCTAGTCTATCGGTCGATGTTCATCATACAATAACATTATCGAAAAAATTTTCCTCGTTCTCTTCTGCCTTTCTTTTACCCCCTTAGCTCATTTAATATATATATATATACATATACGCTGACTTATTCGATCGACGGTCAGAAAAAAGTACTCGACTAACCCTGTCGAGAATATTATTTTTCTCTTTTGACACTTTTCTTTATTCTTTGTGTTAGTACGTTCATTTTCTTTCTTCTTTCTCTTACTATTACAGCACATATACGTTCAAGGTCTTTTTTTTCGTGTGTGTATTTATATATATATATTTATATATATATATATACACACACACACACGATGAATTGGGTGTTAGATGCACTTTAACTGATGATAGTAGCAGGAGTTACGTAATGCAAGAAAGAAAAAAATGACGGAGTTGTCAAAAATGATTCGTCGGACGATGCTTGCTTGTTGAGCAGATGAAAATGTAGATGGTTCTTGTTCTAACCGCAAAATTGAGCAGAAGCTAGAGGATTGGAGAAAAAAGAAAAACTACCATATGAGAGAAAAAGACGGTAACGATGATGAGAAGAAACAGAACAACCTTGAAAAGAGAATAATGACGAAAAGAAAATGTAAAGAAAAGTTTTGTGGTTGTTGGCAGAGATATATCATCACGCACACACCGCATGTAACTCATACGGAACATCATTGTCAAGCAAAATAGAAACAAATCATCTGTTTGCTTTTTCTTTTTTTTTTTTTTCTTGATTCTTTTTGTACTTATAAATAATATTTATTACAAGGTCGAAGCAAACTTCTTCTTCTTCTCCTCTCCTACCACATAAACACAATCACAATCGCATAATAGTTCAGTTTTTCTTTTGTCAACAACAAAGAAAAGAAGAAGAAGCATAGAAAGAACGACCTTGTAGAAACACTTTCATAACTCAAGCTGCAATATAATAATAACAACAAAAAACAAAACTTCCTTTTTTCCTCTGTCTATTTTTACATCTGTCTCAGCTTTTTTTTTTATTTACTCGTATTGTCGAGACCTTGTAATGTCGTCTTCGTCATGTTATATAGCGACTACCATACATAACAACCTTGTTGTTCAATATATGATCTAAGCAACCGAACAAGTAACAAAAAAAAAACGAGAGAAAAAGATAGAAATGTGTAATTAGCTACAAAACCTTGGTATGTGCACTGCAAAACGAACGATCAAGCAAGAGAAAAAGAGATTCAAGGTTAAGAAGAGACAAAGAACCGTTTTTTTCTTCTATGAATCTATGCAAAAAGAAAGAATAAGATGAAGTAAAAAAAAAAGAAAATGCTAATCGAATTTAGAAAGAACTCACATCGTTGTTATGAGCAAAAACTAGTGATTGCCTTCGATAGTGCAATACACCCAACAATAACAACAACAACAACAACAACAATAAGAAGCAAACAATCAATAATAGAAACATATGTTGTCTATAGGTACACAATAGCAAACAGAGACAGAAGACGAAGAAAAAAAAATTACTCGAAAGAATTTCGACAATTGAGCAGAGTGAGTAAACTAGAACGGTAATCAATCACTGAATATAATGTAAGTGTCCAAGATAGACAAAAAAGTAAATATACAATTCTTGATATGTGTTCTATCAATTAATAAGGACACAAAACTATCTATGATAGAAATCTTTTTTTTTTTGCAGCTATTTCTTTAGAACTGTCTCATTGATAGTTATCGGTAGTTGTTCGGCCTTTTCCTCCGGGGTTTTTTTCTATTCTGTCAACAATCGTTTTTTTGCTTTAACTATATAATCATATGTGTGAAAAAAGCAGCTGATTGTTGCCAAATATCAAACGATGCTATTTTTATGTTGTTTTGTTATTTTCATTGAATGCTAATTTCTCTTTCTCTCCTTTTGATTCTCTTTAAATCAAAAAACAGATGTCTAAAATTTGTTTTTCTAATACTCACTTGGTTTTGATATGTTCGCTGCTGCTGCTGCTGCTGTTTTGTTTTTATTGGTAGATTTGCATAGATGTCTTACATAATAGGGTAATTTATTCGTGAAAGATACAAGCTGACAATCATCACTATCTTTGGTTTCTGATGATGCTGTTAGATGTGCCATTTTTATTGCTGGTCAAAAATGTAAACAATCATCGATTTTTCCATAATCACTTTTCTTTTTTCGTCCCGTGTCGAACTGATTTTGATTCCGACAACGGGATATTTCTCGTTAGTCGCAAAATATATATATATATTGGTGAACAGTAATCACTCGTATTCAAACTAATCTATCTGACGAAGCGATCAGATGCGAACAAGTTATGTCAGAGAAAAAGACGATAGGAGAGGGAGTGAGAGGAAGAGAAAATCTTTCTCTCTTCAGTTGATTTTTTTTGCTACGGACAGGAAAAAAAGAGAAAGAAAAAAGAGGACTTTTCTTTCCTTTTTGTCCTGTACACAAGATTGAATACGCCTTTTTCTTTCTCTTCTTCTTTAGATTCTCAGCTGTGCATTAGAGATACGGATATATCTATCTTACTGTCTTATAATACTTAATACAATATCGAATAAACCTTATAACCTATTATTAGAAAAGTATATACGCGTGTACGTGCATTAGAAATACAATCTAATAACATATCAACATTATCAAACATCGATATCATATTATATCCTAGTGGATACACACGTCCCAAGAACAAAAGTCATAAAAAGAATAAATCAGTAAAGACTATTAAACGTGTATATATTTAACTTGATTTTCGCATTTGAAAAAAAAGAAAGAAAAATAAAGCAATTAATCTTACCCAATGGATCATCTTCATTTTCCATATGACATAAAAATTGTCTCGATTTTCTCTTGAGAAGATGTAACAATTTCATTTTTATTTTGTTTATACAATAGATGTAATTAAAATAAAATCAATAACATATAATTACGTTACTTAAAATAATAATAAATCTACAAAATACAATATATATTATATAGATATGTGTATACAATACATTAAAATGATAATGATAGTAATACACTTACTCAGTTAACCTATATATCTTACTCCTTGGCACCCTCGTATGTATTAAGTAGAATTAAAAATCTGTTATCAAATACCTACACGAAGAAATAAAATAAACTTGATTTTTTTTTCTCTGCTATTAGTTTTGTCTTTTTTTTGCCAGTTTATATTCGTATTTAATGATCTATAATTCTTAGGATAGACGCGTGATTCTGTATTTAATATCAGACAGCTGACTTTCATTTCTCTAGCAATTTCTTGCTTATCATTTATAATATCATCATCATCATCATGATTATACAAGGCCAAGTATAAAATAAGAGAAAAAACGCAGTAGATTGCTGGCTGTCTGCGTGATCAAGCACGAAAGTCAACAGAGAAAATTTAATAAGAAAGCATAGCATGTGCAATAAAAAAAGACTTGTGATCTATATGATGTACTTCATCTTATAGTGAGACAGAATCATATGACTAAAATTTAAGTTTTAAAAACAAAAAAGATATGAGGACAAAACAGAAAACATGTCATAATTATTTAAAATACAAATATTTACATGATGTCATAAGGACATTTTTATTATTTATTATATTGACACAACCTTGAACTCTAAAATAAAAGAATTAAATATTACAACATTAAATTAGAACAAGAAGAAAAAAAACTTACTTTTTATTTCGATTGAAAATAATTATTTTGTTCGATATATTCTTTTTTTTGTAAGCGATATCTAACTACGAAATTCATTTGTCTAATATCTAGATTATAGTAATAATAATTCAGATCTATCTGTATTGTTCTGTTTTTCTAGATATAATTTTTAGAAAGTATTACTTATCATTTTACCCATTATGTTTTTTATATTCAGAAGGATTAATATCCGATGTTATTGAAGCGAAAATAAAAATATGTTTATTTGATTATTATCCAACGTGTGCGAACGAGTAAAATCAATATTTTCTTTTTCTCACGAACTACTTTATAAAATATAAGTATGTCTATAGTTTTTCGGACTTTGCTGTATGTATTTGACTATTAAGCAATCTCCGCCTACCACCACGCCTAATATGAAGATAAATCTGACATCATTCTGCAACGTGATTTTCGATCATATGAAATTTTATTTATAGAATAAAACTATGTCCGTTCTAATCCCTTGATGGTGTATATCAGTAGAAATTATTAACTGATTGGTGTAAAAAAATATTTTCTTTTTCTTCTTACTGAATTTCTACAATCATACGCTGTATTTGCACTTAACAAATTTTGTTCTTTCTAAAGTACAATGTACATCTGTTATTAAGAGGAACAATATGACGTTTAATATGAATCAAAAAATTTATATATATGTTATCTTAATTTTTGTTCTCATAAAAAAAATCACGTATGATACCAAAAGAATATGTAAAGAATTTATTTGTTTCAAATATGATTAAAATACAATTTATAAATATAGCTTTTATATTCGGCGCTAAAAGAAAAATGATTGATGAAATATGTTTGGTTTATTAGCAGCACTTAATTCACTTCCACAACAACGTGAAGGTCGTGAAGCATTGAATTTTGAAAATTATATTCGGACAGGTCAAGGTTTACCATCAACTAAAATCTATTATGAATCATTAGTTGATAAACGAGCACGTCAAGAATTAGGTAGGATTCGATATAAAGAACGAATTTATCAGCAAATAAAATTAATTCGTTTGATGAAAAAACTCCTGATAAAAATTGAACATGAAACATGCGATGAAGAATTAGAACAAATGCGTCGAAAAATTACTCAACTTGAAATTAAAGTCGAAAAATCAGCACACGCTAAAAATATTAATTGTGAAGATATGTTTAATATGGATAAACCTGATGATCCTTATGATATTGAACTTGAACGAATCATTCGAAATACTATAACGGAAAATATTGATTCAACAATAGATGATAGAGCAAGTGGTGATAATAAGTGTCATAAAAACGATTTCTTCTTGAAAAATGAAGAAAAATTTAAATAAACTCACAATAATTTATTTTTATTTAAATTAAAAGAAAAAGCTTATTCACATAGTCAAAGAAAACAAAAAAAAAGAGTCAAATTTCTAGTAGAAATCAAACACAGTACATAAGTGAATGTATGAATGATTCCAGAAAGATTGAAAAGAGATCAATATGTAATATTTTCTATATTACACAGCAGTTGTTGTTCTTGCACGCGTATTTGAATCTGATCCATTGAGCAATTTGGAAGCATGATGTGCCTATATAAAAAGAAAAGAAAGAAACATTTAATAGTTTTTTTTGAATAAACGAAAAATTAAATAGAAATTTTACCTGTACAAGTGAAAAACGTCGAAGTTCATCACGATCAACTGCAACTCTTACTCCTTCTCCACCATCGGTTTTAAGCATACGAGCAAAATTACGATGATGATGTGATGTTTCTAAATGTTGTGTATGCGGTGCATAATATTTAGCAGTTGCTTGAGAAAGTGTTTCGCGTCTTGAACGTGCACCTTCACTACCCACAGTTGAACGACGTCCTTGAGCACCAGCACCAGCACCACCTATTGTACTTTTACGACGAGTTTGTTGTTCTTCTGTTGATGGTTCATTTTGTAATACTTCAGCAACAGCTTGTTGTTGTTTTGGATCAAAATAAGCACGAAGAGTAAACTAATATGAAATAAAACATATTTTAGAAAGTTAAAAAAAACATTTTGTTTTTTGTTTTACTTTAAGAAGATCAAGTGGAAAAAACCAAATAACATTCCATACCCATACAATGGCAGCCCAAGCCCAACCGCAACCTCTTATTTCTGTAAAACCCCAATCTGCATAAACAGCAATAAATGTTGCTATAAGTTGTGCAATAATAAATGCACATACTAAGATTAGTGATGGACGTTCCATAAAAAAGAAACTACGTGAACGTGTCACAAAAATTAATGCTTGACTTATAGTTGATACTTGTAAATAAATAATTGAATGTAATTTAGGATCATTATAACCTGGAGGATCATGACTTTGAGGATAATTATAAAATGAATCGACATGAAAACTGTCTTGAAAGAATGTTGTTTTAACAATGACAGCAAAAAAGACAACTGTTGATGCAGCTAAATAAATTCCGTAAATAATTGCATATGTGAAAATTTCAGATAAATTCCATTTATTTGGATATGGCGATGGTTGAACACGATCTTTTGATATAGTCATGATTGTACCATCATTAAGTATAGCAAGGATAAGTACCTAAATAGAATTACAATAAAATAATATTATAAAAGAAAAAGAATTTCTTTACCATAAATGATGGAAAATCAAATTTAAAAGCAAAAATAAGAACAGAAAAACCAACGATAACACGAATTGTTATTGAACATGTATAAATAGCATAATTTCTCATACGTTGAAAAATTTGTCGTGAACCAAGAATAGCTATTATTTGATAAAAAACGTTTTATTTTTATATAAATAATAAAATAAACAATTTCTTACCTTCAATAATAACTGATAGACCAGGTTCAGTTAAAACAATATCAGCAGCTGAACGTGCAGCATCGGATGCATCAGCAACAGCTACACCAACATTTGCTTTTGAAAGTGCTGGTGCATCATTAACACCATCACCAGTCATAGCAATCATATAACCCATATTTTGTAGTTTTTCGACAATTTCATATTTATGTTCAGGATAAACACCAGCAAAACCATCAGCATGTAGAACTAAATCATCAACATCTTTATAACCGGATTCTGGTGGTGGTCCATCTTTAAGTGTTTTTGATAAAAACATATTATCACCGAGGCCAAGTCGTCGACCAGTTTCTTTAGCAATAGCCAATTGATCACCAGTAATCATTTTAACTTTCACACCTATTATTTATTTGAATTAAATTTCAAAAGTTTATTATTATTAATTTTTTTTACCTAATTCCATAGCACGTTCAATTGTTTCTTTTGTATCTGAACGTGGTGGATCATAGATAGGTAAAAGACCAACTAATTTAAAGCCATTTCCTTCACCTTCAACTTCTCCACTTGGTACATCTTCAACAGCAACAGCTAATGCTCGTAAACCTCGTCGTGCAAATTCATCAACATCAGCATTTAATTGTGCTGTTACTTCAGCTGTTTTCTCTCGTGTACATAAATCCAATATAGCATGTGACATACCTTTACTAATACGATGTACAGTTCCATCATCATCAAGTTTATATGTAATTTCAGTACGTTTATCAGTAGGATTGAATCTTAAAAGAGAATAATTCTTAAATCTATGATTAATAACAAGATATTTTTGTTACTTACGGTTTAAAATCTAATTCTTGAATACCAGCTCGAATTTTTTTAATATCACCAAATGTTCCTGTTATACAAGCATCACTAAAATTACAAAATTTGATCAGTATTTTCTTTCTCTCTCTTTTTTCTTCAAACTTACATAGCATCTTGATTTTCTGCACGTGATGCAATAGCTGCAAAATGAATTATTTGATTACCGTCAGCATCAGAATATGTCTTTATAGCTGGTTTATCAATAACAAGTTTATTTAATGTTAATGTACCAGTTTTATCGGAACATAAAATAGTTACAGCAGCAAGTTCTTCAATAGCTGTAATATGTGTAACAATAGCTTTATGTTCAGATAATTGTTTAGCACCAATAGCTAATGTAACTGACAAAACTGTTGGCATAGCAATTGGTATACCACCGATAAGAAGTACTAATAAATTATTAATACCACGTCGATAAGCATAACGAAAACCAGCACTAAAGAAAGAAAATTTATTTAGTAAAAATATGAAATATCAACTTATTATCATCAAATACATACTACATAACAAGAATTTCAGCAACTATAAATATAACAATACCAACAATACAGAAATTACCAATATGAGCAAGAATAGTTTGTAAATGGCCAACTTCATCACCTGAACCACCAACTAATTTAGCTGCTCGACCAAAAAATGTATTAAGTCCAGTGCCGATAACTAAAATATAGTAGAAGAAATTATTATTTATTTTTTTTCATCAAATTTAAATAAAACTCACCAATAGCTTCTGCTTCACCTTGTTTACAAGTTGAACCGGAAAAGATTTCATCACCAATTGCTTTATTTACAGGTAAAGATTCACCTGTTAATGCAGCTTGATCAATAGAAACTCCACCATGTGCAGCTAGAATAAATAGAAGAGAATTATTTATACAATTGTTTATTAATTATTTTTTACCTGTTAATCTTCCATCAGCAGGTATAACATCACCTAATTTAACACTTATAATATCACCTGGAACTAATTCAGATGCTTCAATAACTTTCCATTCGCCATTTCGTTTAACTTTTGCTTCCGGTGCTAAAGCTTCCATAAGTGCTTTAACAGCATTTCCAGCATTACGTTGTTCAATAAAACCGATAATTGAATTAGCAAGAAGAAGTAAAATAATACCAACAAAATCTTCCCAATCTGGAGGTTGTCCACCACCATTTGATACAGCAATAGCAACAATAGCAGCCATTTCCATAACCCAAGATAAAGGATTCCACATAAATAGAAGAAATTGTATAATAGCACTTTTTTCTTTATGATCAAGTTTATTATGGCCAAACTAAAACAAACAAACAGAATATGATTGAAACAAAACATATTAAAATTCTTTTACCTTTTCTAAACGTTCAGCAACTTCTTCATCTGTTAAACCTTCTGGAGTTGCACTAAAAATTTAAAATAAAATATAGATTTATATAAAAATTTAAATTAACTTACTCAAGCATTTTAAATACATCACCTTGTTCCATTGTTGATAAATCATATTTTTCCTTATCATACATTTCTTCGACCGTTAAAGTTTTAACGGCATTTTCTGGTATATCAACAGTCGTAGCTTTATTCTTATTTTCACCTTCATCACCATCATTACTATTTTTATTATTTGCGTCTGGTGCCATTGTTTGCTTTTTTTATATAAGATTCTCCTAACTTTTTAACTAATCAATAGTTGCATTTCTAAAAATATATCATAAAAATTAGAAAAAAAACCTAACTACGTACGTAGAAAAAAAAACGAATAATTAACAGGTAAATTATTTCTATCACTAGATACTAATCCTCGAAGCGTATCATTCACATGTGATAATCAAGGGTGTATTTTTTTATGTATTTATAATGTTTAGATGATAAAACAGAACAGTCATAGTTGAATAAATAGTCAGGTTTTTTATCGAGAAAAAAAAAGGTTTGCGAAAACACGTATTTTTTTAGGGGGATTTAGAGTTAAATGAGTACAAAATATTTTTTTTTGAATATTTTTAAGTACTTATTTAATGATATGAATATAAATGTACATACAAATAAGCAACAATTGTCGAATACATAGAGTAATACTTAATGACAGACATTTTCATGCATCACTATAAAGTGTCTTGAATATATTCTAAAGTCTATTCATACTGTTTTTTTTTCTTTATTGTCTTGATTCACACTTGAATAGGTCTAAGGTTGTTTTTTTCGGTCCGATTTCTGTCTAATCAATAGCAATGATTATTGTCATAGACACTACTAGTTTCACAATATACATAAGAAATCCTAGATTGAGAACAGATTCAAAACATAAGATATGTCATATCTCAAAAACATATCAAGGAATTCTACATTTTCTTTTTTCTTCTACATACTATAATGTGTTTTAATTATAATGTTATTTCATGCATTATAGGTAAAATTACCTAAATTCTAAACACTCACCATTATGTATACTCTAATCAACGAACTTATGAAGAGAACAAATACAAATATGATTAAATATATATATGTATATATATATGATCAACAAAAAAAGAGAAAGACAGAGAGAGAAAAGAGAAGAGAGTAACGCACTTAACGCACTTTCTTGTTTTTTCTTATGTATAGTATCCTCTTTGCTTTGGCCAAATCACTCACAAGCCTATTGATTCATTCACGCATAGAATATATGGATACCTCTTCGTTTTCTTCCTTGTTTTTATTTTATAATAATCGGACTTACCTTTACGCATTGACTCATGTTTTCAAATTTAACATAACGATAATATCAGAACAAAGTCCAAAGGGTCATCTGTACTAATGAGAGAGTTAAAATCACTGTTAAATTAAACACTAAATCAAAACGAAATGAACCAGAAAATGACCGTGTCCTCAAAGTGCATCAAAAACAACAACTGTATCTACTATGTGGCTAATATCTTGTATTTAACGAAGCGTGACTTAAAGAATGAAAGTAGAGTCACTATTATCAATACTCATCATGCGTTATTATACGAGCTTTTTTTCTTTTCATTGTCTTCAATAAACTTCATCTGTACGTATAAATTGATAAGTAATGTTCACGTTTGAAGTTCAAATTCAAATCATCAGATAAACGGAGCGAAGGTCTTAGTAATGCATGATCAGTCGCCTGTACAAAGGTTTTTCGTAAAAGTACGACACGCCCATCCAACGCAAGTACGCACAAAAGAAAAATAAAAAAAAGGCGTATCAATTATATGACGCTTTTTTTCTCTTGTATACTAATATGTTGACTGTAAAATACTGATTGGAAATGCTTGGATGACGCTTTTAAAGGCGTTATATTGTTAATCAACATACAACACACAATAAACAAAACGATTGGATGGACGTTTATTTTTATATTTTTACTCATTAATACACGACTCATGATAAGATATTGACTAATGTTGTTATGTATAGACAAAATATTACAACTATACAATATCTACTCAATAATATCATAGATTTTTGCTTAAAAGATTGAACCTAAAAATACTTCGTTTTTTTTATCATTCATTGATCATTCAAGATATTAACTTTTTTCGTTTATCAATAAATAAATAAATAACCTGAAAATTAATTTGACATGTTTCGCTTTTTATATTCTTAAACTTTAATATCAATAAATATTAATCATCGATTATTTTTTAAACAGATATTTATCTATGCAACTAAATTCTATCATATGTTTTTTTATTAGTAAAATTATGGAAACAAAAAAAAAGTTTAGTTAAAAAAAATAAATTAAAGTCCACCAGTAACTTCAATACTTGCTCCATTAACATAACTACTCATTTTATGTGTAGCTAAAAATAAACAAACTTGAGCAATTTCATCAACTGTACCCATACGACCCATTGCAACCATAGTTAATAATTTCTCTTTAATCTTATCGGGAATTTTATCTGTCATTGCAGTTTGAATAAAACCAGGTAAAATTGAATTTGAACGAATACCAAGACGTCCTAATTCTTTAGCCATTGATTTTGTCATAGCTTCAACACCAGCTTTCGATGCTGTATAATTACATTGACCTGCATTACCATATTTTCCAACAATACTTGCTATATTTATAATACTTGCTTGTAAATCTTTTGGTTTTTCTGCTAATAAACGTTGAGAAAAAATTTGATTTATTAAAAATGTTCCCTTTAAATTAACACGTATAACATCATCAAAATCTTCTTCACGCATTTTTAATAATAATGCATCACGTGTTATCCCAGCTGCATTCACAATTATTGTTGGATATGCTTGAATATTAGAAAAGATCTCATCAGCTAATTTAACAACAGATTGACGTTGACTTACATCACTAACAAATGAATGTTCACATGATGAATCAAATTTTTTGACATCTCTAAAAGAAAATATATAATTCGATTATTTTCAATATTCTATTTTTATACTTACACACCACAAACACGACTTCCTTCACTAGCAAATAATTGTGCTACTCGTTTACCAATACCATTACCTGCACCTGTCACTAATGAAATCGTATTAGAAAGCATATCTGAAAGTACACATACTATAATTATGTGTCACACAAAAAAACAAATCTTATTTTTTTATTATGTTTTTGTTTTTTTCTCATCTTCGGAAAAGAGAATAACAAAACAAAACAAGTTTTAACAAAAACAAAAAAACATACACACTGTAAATACTACTTTCTAAATTGTAGTAACACTTTTAATATACTTAACAAGTGCAATTGATGTATTTAATTGTCGTTGTATATTATTCCAAGTTTCTTTTTGTTTTAATTGGATCTTACGAATTTTTTCAATTAATTCATCATTTTTCCATAGAAGATTTGTTCCATGTAATTGAATAAAAAGTGCTAAATAGGAACTTATTAAATCATAATTTTGTTTGTAATCAAATGCGTGATGAAGTATATCGATAAATGTAAACATACGTTCTAATGAACCACCTTGATCAGGTGATAAACAACGTAATTCATATTCAATTTTAGCCATACCAAGATCTTTGAAAAGATTCATAAAATCAGTTATTAATGTTGTATTTTTTTGATGATGATCAAGTAAATTTGTTAATGATGATTGATAAAGAAATTGTTGAATTGCATTAATATGTGTTTGTTTTTTATCTTTTTTCTTATTTTCTTCATCTTCATTAACAAAAACAAATCCACGTAAATTTGATACGGTTGGTAAAAAGAATGGTGCTTGTTTTGGAATATTTATTGGTTGTTTTGGTTTATTACGTTGACGTATTGTATCAAGTACAAGTAAATTTTTCCATTTTGATTCCGGTAATGCTGAAAGTGTGATTAAATTTTTTGATATTTGTTCAGGTGATTGAAAATCTCCAACTAATAATTGTTCTGTTGTTGAATTTATTATTGAACCACCAAACATTGAACGATTTGACCATAAATAAACACCTAATGCATCTGTATGTCCTGTTGCTAACATATCACCATTTGGACTTACAGCGATTGTCATTATTGCTTGATCAAATTCTAATGTATCAATTAATTGTCCACTTGGTATATCCCATATACGCATTGTTTTATCTAATGATGTTGTTAATAACCATCGTGCATCAGGCATAAATGCTAATGCTGTTATATCATTTGTATGTGTATTTTGTGAAAATGTACGAATACATTTACATATCATTGTATCAAAATCATAGATTTTTATTGTATAATCATTGAAAGCAAGTGATATAAGACCACTATCACGATGTACAATCATTTTAGTTATATGAATCTTTGAATTTGAATTATCTTGATCGATAATCGATGTTGATGAAATTAATGTTTTAGTTTTTAAACGCCATAATTTGATATTTCCATTAATATCACATGATATAAGACGTGTATTAAGTGAATCAAATGATACACCACATAATGGATATGAATGTGCTGTAGCATATGGAGATGATTTTAAACGTTTTCGAGGATTTTTTGCAGCAAATTGTATTGGACCATCATCTAAAGAAAAACGAAACATAGCATATTTGTTATCAATAAAAATTAACGAATCAGATATATAATAAAGGCCACTAAAGTCTTTCATAGCTCAGACACAAATTAGATACTATCAATATATGATAACAATCGCGATCAGTTTACTAAATATTTACGAAAACACACATCATTCTTGATCAAAAGATAAGAAACATGTATGCCTTTTTTGGAATTTTCTCAGTCAAAATATACGAATAACTGATGTCTGATAGCAAAATATATTTCCTGCAGGAGTTATTTTATACAAAAAAATCTTTACCGAATGATCCACGATAAAGTCCAGATTGCATATTATACATATCAATATGTCCTGTTGAATATCCAATAATACCAAAATTTCCACATGGACTAATATCACAACAAGTTGCAAGAACTTCTGTATTATGATAAACTTTAGTTGCAAATCTTTCATGTTCAAATCGATGTTGACTACGAGTAGCTCGAATATAATTCCAAGCTGATACACGTCGTCGATTTTCATGTATAGCAATAATACCATCCCAATCATTTTCTTTAATAACTTCACAACGTAAATCAATAATTGGTAATGGTTGTTCAGTATCTTCATTCTTCTCATCATCATTATCATTATTTTCATTTTCATTTAATTCCATTTCCCATTTATATCGTGTTGTACGACCAAAACATCGTGAAAGATTATCAAGTATTGTATGAAATGTTCTTAAACGTCCATCATTACCAGCTGATAATACGATTTCATTATCATGAAAACGTACACAACGTGGCGATTTCGAATGTCCACAACGTTCACGATATAAACGACATGATTGACCATCAGGCATATCAAATATCCATTCACGTAAAGCATTATCATTTCCATTTGATATTAATAATGGTTCACCAGGTATATAATGTAATGCAGCTATCGCACATTGTTTATGTGCATTTCGCATTTGACTTATTAAATGACATGTATCTAAATTCCATATGCAAATATGTCCAGCTGATGAACCTGTTGCCATATGTGGAACATTATCCAGACGAAATGCAATGGATGTTATTGGTCCATTAAAATCTTGTGTAAATGTAACAAGTGTTTCATCATAACGAAGATTATGTAAACGAATTTGCCCATTATTATATCCAATAGCAATAACATCAACAACAGTTGATTGAGCAATTGCCGTTATAGAATTTGTTTGTATATCATCATTCGAAAAAAATTCATGTAATAATTTATTCGATTTGATATTCCATAATTGCATTGTACCTTGACGTGATGCTATTAATAATTTATTAACATATGTTGCTGGATGAAGTAAACATGTTATATGAAAATTTTTTGGATCAAATTCAAGTAAAAAATAAACACTAGCTGATTGTATATCCCATACACGTAATGTATTGGATTCATCAATACTAATTAAATGTTCATCACCAAATGGTAATAAATGTTGAACATCGCCTTTATGATCAGATAAAGTTTGATAAAGATGAAATACACGACGATAAACATATATCGATGAACCGGAAGCAACAAAAACTAAACGACTATTTGATGCTAATGCTTGAATATCTTCTGTATGAGCATCACTAACAAGTAAAACTTGAAGTGTATTAAGACGATAAGCATGAAATACTTTGCCTATAGCTGTTAATAGTAAATGAGATGAATGACGTTGATGTATACGTAGTATACATGGAACATGATTAGTAACTAAACCTAATGTACGATAACTAGAGAAAAGATGCTGTTGCTGTTGTGATGATGTGGATAACATGATCGAAGTATCTAAAAAAGATTTCGAAAACTAAAACGCAAAATCCAAATGATCTTCAACTACATTGGTATTGATTATTTGACCATTAATAAAGCAATGTAGTACATGATTAACAGGTCTTTATAGAGACCGCCACATGATGGCGTTAGTAAACGATTTGATTATTTTTGCTAAATTGAAAGACTGAATAAATTACGAACTTAATTATTCATATTTTATTTACAAAATCAATATAATAATATTTTTTCATACATAAAAATTTGACCGAGTATCTGTTTATACTTTCAAATCCTAAAGTAATTGTATTCTGTTCTGAAAATGAATTAGTATCTACTATGCATATCAATTTATTCTATTTGACATTCCAGTATAGAATTTCAGTGAATATGAAAATATAGAAAACAAATGTTCAGAATGCTTTCAAGTGATGCCAATATAAAAATAGTCAAAGTTAATTGTTGTCTCTTTTTTTCTGCCATCTCGTCATTATTTAAATATTCTTTTTTGTGATCAACATCCGTTCTATCCTTCAAATTTATAATAATTAATATAGTTATCTTCGTCATATAAAATAGAAGACTACATGCAATAGACTAACTAATATATGATTGAGATCAAGTTTGTTACACATTCATTTGAATGCAGTATGTAATGTATGTATATTCTTTCAAGACAACGCGCTCGTACACAGCAAAAAAAAGGAGCGAAATAGAGTGTAGAAATATATGAACGATAACACCAAAAGAACACACCGTGGAATCGAACATATTTCGAGAAAAAAAAAGAGAGAAAAAAAGTAGTATGAGAGATAGACAGGGAAAGCCAGAACACCAGCAAAAGAAGAACAGAGAGACGAAAAAGAGAAAAAAAAGAAATGAAATAAACGCGCATACACAACAAACATTAACAAATTGCATGTGATTTAAGTTTGCATGAATGTGATGGTAAAATTATGATGTATAATTTTAATATAAGAAGAAATATCGCGCAACGAAGAAAAAAAAAGAAGAAGACAAAAATGAATATAGAATGTGCAAGTGTAAAGAAAAAACAAGGACATAGACAGACAGAAAAAAGAATTTTTTTTCACTTTTAGTTAATGAAAACACACATGATATACAAATAGAGCACACACTGTTATTTTCAGGCTATATTAGTCGTTTCATGTCAAGAATAAATTACGTACAGATAATCTCAATGAAATTTTTCTACTGATAATAAATATATATGTATATATTTATATGTGTGCAAAAAGCAACGATGATTTTGTTCATCCATCTTTTGAATTTAAAAAAAAAAAAGGATTTTTCTTTATAGTCTAAGATCTACAAGTGTGCACAGGAAAAGAAGAAGAAGAAGAATAAGAAGCAAGAAAAAAAAAGAATTATTTATAAGAGCCGATTCTCATGGATGAATTTCGCACACACACAAGAAGAAAAAGAAAATAAATGCCTTTTAGGCATGAGCAACAGCACAGCAGATAGAGAAAATGAAGAAGAGAGAGAGACAAAAAAAGAGATCCTAGTTTGTGACTTACATGCACAACACAGACAAACACACATATACACACATACAAACCATGCGTGTTAACTTATTTAATTGAATTAAGAGAAAAAAGATAGATAGACAGACAAACTCATGCGAGATACAATCACTAAAAAAAAAAAGAGAAAAGTAGGCTTGGACATTGAACATAGAGAAGAACAATGAAAAGAAAGAAATCACAATTTGAGTTCATTAGCGATTTTACTCGCAATATTTTTGAAACCAATTGATGTGCCTGATATACGTTTAAATCGAACTCCATTTAATGATAAACGTGGTAATTTGCATACTTCCATTTCCCATGATACAACTGAATCTGTATTTGGATCACCATGTACACAAAGTAAAAGAAATTTTTCTCGTTGTTCATAATCACAATTATTTATATCGAGAACCTATTTTACAAAAAAAAATTAATAATATTCGATGTTTTTTCTTTGAATAATTTTACTTTTCGAATTTCTTTCATCATATCAGATGGATCCATTGAACTTGTTGTTTTCATTGACCATGTAAAACGAAGTGAACGTGGTTTTAGTTCTCCAGGGCTACTACCACCGCCAGCAGAAATATTATCATTTGTTGTATTTCCTGCTGTACTTGTTGTCATATTTGTATTATTTAGATCCGGTGGACGACGATAAGATGACGATGCACTTGCTACACTACCAGTCATACTATTTCCAATAGCACCTCCAGTTGTTCCCGATGTTGTAGCTGATTCTCTAATTGATTTTCTAGAAATTGAACTTTATTTCTTTCGTTTTATATATCAATTAATTTAGTTTGATAAATCCGATCAGCTGACAGAATTAATCTCAACCTATTAGCTTTAAATCTATCTGATTGACCCAAGAGAACAACTTATTTTGATTTTCATTAAACTTAATTGGAATAGTATATTTATGATAAATAAATTTAATTGTAGATTAGAACTATTTATCTGTAGTTTTCTGAAAAATATCCTTTATAGAGTAATAAATCTAGTGAATTATCTATCATTGTTCACTAATACGCTATAAATATGAATGCTTTTAGGGGCTTTTCTTAGTCTCAATGAGATCTATTTAGAGATAAAAAAAGAACGTCGAACACTTAAAAATAGTAGAAATGATTTCCTTATGAATTGTTGATAATTTCCGATGTTAAAAACGTCTAGGCAATTCTATCATTCAAAGTCGTTCAGTACACTATTCAAATTTAATTACCTTCTTGCAAATTTTGATGAAAGCTTGCTGAGAAATGATTGAGCACCACTATTTGTACTCGACATCATTGCTCCATGTTGATTACGATTATTTATGTCACCATAATTCATTGTACTATTAGGATTTCGCGCTGATGCTCGATGATCTGTATTTAATCCACTAGTAGTTGCTGATGCATTTGTTGTTGGATGAGGTTGACGTGTAGGTATATTATGAATAGTTTTACGATCAGGAGCAGCACGATTCAATGGATTTCCAGAACTACCACTACCCGTACGTGTATTTGTTGTAGGTACAGCTGGAGGATTAGCTGATGTTGGTGTAGAAGCTGCAGATTGCACTGTTGAAGAACTATAATAAACGAGAGAAAAAAAATATACACACACATGATTAACAAGACATAATACAACAATTATTGAGCAATAGCAACAATCATGCGTAATAGTATAAGAAGAAGATTTTAATCGTAAATTAGTGATCAATTATGGCATTATAGGATAGTCAAGTGCATCATATAGATATATGACTATAGGATATAGGAAGGATAATTTATTGTCTTTATCATGAAAATCATGTCGATAATCTTCATTGAAATTCTTACTTGAAATTATATGGTTGAGGATAGTTCGAATGAACTCGAACTGATCCACCATTCTTAATATTAGGATGTGGTATTTTGCTACGTCTGATTTTAAATTATAATTGGTTAGAGGGATAAAACTTAATCAAAATTAAGTACACACTTGATATTCTCTGGATTTTGTTGTTGCTGTTGTTGTTGTGTTGATGATGAATTAGATGAAGAAATACTTGCAGATTTTGGATTATATGTTTCCCGTAATGGACCTCGCATCATATGATGCGGTGCTTGAGAAGACGTTGTTGATGATGATAGTGATGCTTGGTCAATTGCACCACGATTAAAACTAGAAATCGATGGGATAGAAATATTGAAACGCTAATTCTCAACAAACCTTTGTGCAAAACGGGGTATCCGACTTTCAGGAATTACACTAACATAAGCAAAAGCATACATAACAAGCAAACGTGCATAAAATTAAAACAAGAAATGAAATAAAATATACGTACGAATCTCCCGTAGTTGTATTTCCAGTTTTAGTTTTATTTTCATTATTAAGACTGGTTGAATCAACTTTTCTCATTGAATCATTATTTATTGTAACAGCATCACTTGTGTCTCTTCGACGTACACCTGTATTAGGTAAACGAACTGTTTGTGCACGATTATTTTGATTTGTTGTATTAGTACGATTTGTAATAACATTAGATCCTGGAGGATTTCCACTTGTACTAGTTTTTAATTGTATATGTCCACTATTATTTGTTGTTGATGTATCAATACTTGCAGCTGCAAGTAATGCATTAGGAACACCATTTGTTGTTGTTGAACCATTCGTTGATGAATGATCATTTGTATTTAATGCTGCCGCCGCTGCTGCTGCAGCAGCTGTAGCAGTTGTTGATGGGCGATGTTGTTTATCAATAGATGGAAGATTTTCTTTATCATTTGCTGTTGATGGTCGTGTACTTGATGAAATAATTTTTGATGTTAAAGTTGATTGAGTATTTGAAGCATCTGTAACACCTTTATTATTTGATACTTGACCATTCGAAGTTTCCATTGCATCAACTTCAATAGTTCGAAGACCGAGCAGAAGATAATGTGCCATAATATCATCATATTTACGTGTACTTAAGGAATCAAGTATTTGTTCACGAGAATAAGTAGCATCTCGTATAATTGCTTCTAAAAAACAAAAACAAAATTTCTCTTGTCTTATTTAAAATTGAATCAATACCAATTCGATAATTATCACTAAAATCTTGACTTGGTTCTTCATATGGTTTTAATTCATCATTCTCATAAAAAATATTCATCCATTTATCTTTCATAATTGCCTTTTGAAAAGAAAAATAAATATAATTAAATTCTATTTCCTTTCTTTTTCTTACATCAAGAGAAACACGTCGTGTTGGATTTAATACAAGAAATTTTTTCAATAAAGTTTCACAATCAGTTGACATATAGAATGGTATTCGATATTTACCACGTAAGACACGTTCGCGTAATTCCTTTTAGAAATATTTATTAATAAAAAAATCGATAAAAAATAAACAAATCTTTTTACTTTGAGATTTTGTCCATCAAATGGTAATGAACCACTAACAAGTGTATATAAAATAACTCCTAAACTCCAAACATCAACTTCTGGTCCGTCATATTTTTTTCCTTGAAATAATTCCGGTGCTGCATATGGTGGACTACCACAAAATGTATCTAATTTATTTCCTGGTATAAATTCATTACTAAAACCAAAATCTGCTATTTTAATATTTAATTCTGCATCGAGTAATAAATTTTCTGCCTGAAAAAAATATTAAATAATAAAAATTTTATAATTTTAATTAAAAAAAATTACTTTAAGATCGCGATGTACAATATGTTTTTGATGAAGATATTGAACAGCTGATACAATCTATAGATAAATAAAATAATTGAAAAATGTCAAAAAAAGGCGTAGATTAATTAAAAAATAAACTACGTAGGTAAAAATCGGGTTTATCTATTATTTTGTATATTAACTAAAAATAGAAGATAAATATTCTTTTGTTCTGTTAGGAAATTAACACATAATAAATCTCCGTTAAATAAAATTAGATCGTATTATGTAAATATTATACTTTAACTGATCAACATAAGAGCCTTAAGTATTCTTCAAGCTTAAGTTTATGAAAGTAAAGAGATCTGAATAAATCAAAATCAATTGAATTATATCATTTTAAAATAGTATTCAGAGATAAGTACTTTAATTTCTGATTTATCTATATGTGATACCTGTTCATTGTAAATGAAAATCAGTATATGTTATTCAATTAAGAGTAGTTATTTCGAATATTTTATGATATTATTAGAGAAAAAAAACAATTAAATCGTTTCAATGATATTTTTATAAAATTTCCCCTACGGACGTTGAGACACCCTGTATTCGTCAATACTAAACATAAGTAGTTTCCTGTTTTCCTTCCGGAATGTAACATCTTATAGAGCAAAAAAAAGAATCCTACATCGTTATGATCAATAGTAATCGCCTGACTTATTCTTATTTGAGGGAGGAAAAAAAACGCATACTTGTCGAAATTTTGATCTTGCTTCTTTTTCTTTCATACGACCATGTGCAACAAGATAATCAAATACTTCACCTAAAAAATGATTTAGTTTTCGTTTCAAATAAAAGAAAATAAATATTTTTTTTACCTCCACTTGCATATTCCATGACAAGATAAAGAGTTTTTTCAGTTTCAATGACTTCAAATAATTTAACTAAAGGAAAAATAATATGAAAAACTATTGTCTAGTAATTTTTTTTTCTGTATACCAATATTTGGATGATCGAGTCCTTTCATTATTTTTACTTCACGGAATAACTATAATAGAATTGAAAGATTAAATTTGTATATGAATTTTGTTGTTTTCTACAAACTTTTTGTAATGATGTAGGATTTAATTGAGCTTTATCGATTATCTTTATAGCAACTTCACGACCAGTTGGTAAATGTCGAGCTAATTTAACTTTGGCAAAATTACCTTTACCAATTGTCTAAAGAAAAAATTTATAAAATAATTTTCTTTGTTTTTCAAAAAAACTAACCTTGCTAAATCGATATTTGCCAATATGTGGTTCATTTGGATCACTACGCATTTTATTTGATGTTAAACGTGATGAAGTAGAAGTTGATGTTGCTGAAGTTGATGCTACTATGCTATTCGTATTACTGTTGTTGTTATTATTATTATTTTGATGTTGATCGCTATTTGCTGGTTTCTAAAAATATTGAAAGGTGTCATATGTTAGACACGAGCATTATTGGTACAATTAGCATGTCTGACTGAAATCAAAAAGAATCATTCATGTTCGTCGGAGTTTAGCTTATTTTCATATGCGTTCCTCTTTTTTTTCTTCTCGCATTTTTTTCTTCTTCTGTTGTCTCTTTTTTTTCTTTTTCTTTTTCTTCTTCTACACTATTGCGTCGCCATCATCATCATCATCCGTCGACATTTTTCGATGTAATAGTAGAACACATAAAGGAATAGAACGCGAGAAAAAAAGAATGTGTTTCCTGATATTTGACGTTTTTCGCGTGTATCAACAAGAGACGAACGAAGGAACAATACAATTTTTGTTTCTTTCTTTTTCTTTTGTCAACTATGAATAATAGGTTTGATGAATACATATGTATACTCAAAGACGCATCACCATTTAGAGAGTAGGTGGTGTTGTTACTCGTTTCTTTCGTTTCTTCCCTCCTCCTCCCGCACACGTTCTTTCTATTACAATTTATTTCTTCTCTTATGTTCTGTTAAACTATATATATATATGAATGGTGGTGCACTCAAACGACCAGACTAGGTGACAAAAATAAGGAATAAACCCTGTTTTACTTGTAAATTTAAATGGCATTATAGTTATTCAAGTGTTCGAACTAATCAAATAGAAGAAACAGTTGGTTGTAAATGTTATTGTTTGTATCTTTTTAATATTTAAGTGGAAGACGATTATTAATGAAGTGAAAGAATTAAAGGAGAGAAAAATGCGAACGACGCGTGGTCGTCGTGTATAGTCACAAAATTTTCGACATGTGCTGTACATAGTTTACATAAATAAAAGAAGAAAGAAGAAGAAGAAGAAGAAGAGAATAAAAATGGCTACTGTGTTTCCAAGATGTTATATGATGTAGAAAGAGAAAAATAAATTAGCTAATAATATTATCATCGGCAAAAAGCGTTAATGAACTAACTCATTCAATCAAATTCAAAGTGACATATTCTATAAAATATCTAATCAAGCAAATTTTATTTATTAACTAAAATCAATAAAATAAATAAACTTACTGCTTCAGAGGTACTGTTATCTCTCATTGTTGTTGATGTTGAAGATTGATTGGGTTTGGCACTATTCGTCTTAGGATATTGGTTAGGTGTTGACATATTCTTATCCAATGTCAAATGTCCTTGGTACAATAATTTCTACTATTACTAAAGCTTTTGTTCTTTCTTTTTGTTATATAGAGTGTCGATTGATATATGAACTGTTCACCAAGTCATGGATATTCTAATATAACTGGGATTTATATGTTTAATCAATATATAGTTATCCCATTTGAGATAAAATCTCATAATCTAAAAAAGAGAGAGAGACAAATAATTTAAATATCACATGTATTAATTTGACAAAATAGAAGATTAATATATATTGTTATTATCTTTTCAATGACATGAGACAATGAATAAATAAAAAGAAAAAATATAGATCTACATTTACAATATTCTCTGTATATATTTTTTTCTTCTTCTTCTTCTCTTTCTTCTTTTCATCATCATCTTGTTCGTCAACGATCAATGTACTACATACTACATGCTTATTGTACAGGTATCGGCCATATTGAGTAGATGAATCTGCACCTCTCGAATGACATACAAATAGGTATTTAGAAAATAATATAAATAAACATAAAAAGAAAAGAAATTGAAAAAGATTTTTATTAATTTATTAAAAGAAACAAAATCATTTGATAAAAATTAATTTCAATCAAATATAGAATTAATAAAATAACGCGATAGATGACACTAGTCGATGTATTTTCTATTAAATAAAGATCTATATAGAAGAAAAATATAGGTTTTTTCTTTTTATTCTTAAATAAATATACTTTGCTGATGTTGTTATATCAGTAAATAATCGATCGTATGTATCGGAAAATGTTGTATCAATATCAAAAAAATCTAGCGATGAATCTTCTTTTAAATTATATGGTTGAATTATAGTTATTAATCGATCACTATTTGATTGAGTACGTGATCGTTTTATTTTTTGATTAGTTCGAGATGTATAATGACGAGATCGTTTATTACAAGCTAGAAAATAAACAAGAATTGATAAATAAAGGAAAAAATTTTTACTGTTGATTATAAGCGATAAAAGCAAAAAATAATAATTTAAAAATAACTCGTGTCCTTGAGACTTCCGTTGAGACTTATGGGAATTTACCGTATAGCAAGACTATATCCGTGTGTTTTACAATGAAATACTTGAAGTAAAATGACTGTTTCCTTCCTTCAAAAGATATTCAACGTTAACAAAATATAAAGTCACTTTGTTCTGCACTCTTAGTCCTTTTTTGAAAAAGTAATAATCATACATTTTTTTAATTTCTTCTCGTTTGATGAACATTTACATATTGGCAGATTGAATGTTGTTAAAAATTCTTCAGTTAAAATATTTGAATCTGTACGTGTAGGAGGTAATTCTAAAGATTTCGATACATCGATTGGCATTTGTAAACTCCATTGTGTAGCAACATCATTTTTATTTAAATTTAATGAATTAAGAGATAGAAAACTATGTATATAATTATTTTGAAGTATTTGTAATGTATGAACTTGTTGTGGTAATAATTGAAGATTTAAATTGGAATCATTTTTATTGATATAAATAAATTTATCAAGAATAATATAAGAAGATAGAGGTATTGATGATGACGATCGAATTTTTTTGATTGATTGTTGATATTGATCTTGTGAATATGTTTTTATTGCTGATTGATGGTGTCGAGAATAATGATAGATTTGTCTAGGTCGTATATTTGATTTACATGTCGATGTTGTATAAAGCATTGCATTCGAACTATATGAAGGATAACTTGATAGATTCTTATGATATTGTAATTGACGTAGAATTTGATGTTCGCGTTGTTTACGTTTCATATCATATAGATCATGTTGAAATTCTTCAACTAAATTTCGATGATGATGTTTGATCTAAATAATTGATTTATACATACATAAATATAGATATCTGTTTAATTACATGATGATGATGATCCGATGATAATGAATGCCGTCTATTTTGTATTGAAGATCGATGATAATGATAAAAAGAATTATTTGGTTGAGTAGAACTTTTTAAAGTATGATTTGTACTTTTAGAATGAAGCATTGTTAGATAATGATCTTTATTATCAACATCATATTGTATATATTTAGCTAGAGTATGTAATGCTGTCATAATATCCTTCATATCTTTAGATGAGATATTTAAATATGTATCTGATAGAGTACGATTTGAAAGTGTTGTATATTGACTACTATTATCTTGTTGAGAATTGAAAATAATTGGTTGAGTATCATTTGCTTGATTTTGATTTACATGTTGATTACGTTTTAATTGAGATTTTATTAGTGAACTTGAGGGAAGTCCAGCAGTAATTAAAGATGGATTTGAATCTGATAAGATTTTATTCATTCGATTAATGACTTTTCTTTTTGTTATGTCCGAAAATAAAGAATTAGAAGAAAAAAGAAGAAGAATGAAAGCGCAAAATGATTAGATTTAATAATTGTTTATAAGAATTGACAACAGGTATTGAACGCGCGTGGATTTAGATAACAAAAACGGAATTTAAAGTGTTTATAAACAATAAAATAAGTGTTTTTTTATTTTGCATATTTTATATTGTATACAAATTTGATAAAGATATTTTCTCACTATATGTTAAATTATATTGTTCTATTAGAAGAATAACAGAATTTAATAAAATATCATTGTTTTACACTTCTCAACAGCTATATAGTACTGTATACTTTACTATCTATTGGTCGCGTGCCAGTGCTGTGAATAGATTGATAATCGTTGTAATATTATTAACAAGTTACATTCGGACGATATCTATTTAATGATGAACTACTTCGAAATAAGTGTCATTCTTTAAAGAAATTATTCTTTATATTATACTTTGATGGATTTATATTGTTTATTAAAACAATAAGTGATAACAAATCATATCATAAAGTTGTCTTTCTTCATATTTTTTATCAGTATGTGCAATGTTTTCTGTTTCATATAGAAACACATAGATATTCTATTCATTTAATATGGATGAGTTTACCAATGCTATGAATTATTCTTTAATATTGGAACAGAAAGAATAATTCATTCTATTGATAAAGTAAACTTTTTCTCTACTTTTATTCTTCTATGTTTCTGTTGAGTATCCTTCTTTCTTGTCTAACATAAAGAAACTCTACTTGTTCAGACATTATAATGTAACGGTGAAGATCTTTTCTACAATTCAAATCTTTTCAATATATATTGTTTACCTTCCCGATGAATGCTACTGCTCGTATTGTGTTCTCAACAAGAACAGAGTTTCAATAGACACATTTTCTTTTTCATCAGTTTTATTTTAGTTTCAAAAAAAATACAAAAAGAAGTTATAATTTTTTTTTAATGTTTTCGAGATTTCTTTTATATGTTTGAAGATTAGGATGATTTGTTGGTAATGATTGTTGTCCAATTTGCTCAGCACGCTCATAAAATGAATGCGCTTTTGAATAGTTGCCCATATTATCATATACTAAACCGATGTTGTTGTAGGAAGCACCCAAATCAGGATGATCAGAAGGAAGTGATTGTTGTCGAATTGCAAGGGCTTTTTCATGAGATGAAAGTGCTTTTGGATAATCACCCATGCTGTCATACACATTACCGATGTTGTAATAGGAAGAGCCCAAATCAGGATGATTGGAAGGAAGTGATTGTTGTCGGATTGCTAGGGCTTTTTCATAATTAGAAAGTGCTTTTGGATAATCACTCATCCTCTCATACACTGAACCGATGTTGTTATAAGAACTACCCAAATCAGGATGATTAGAAGGAAGTGATTGTTGTCGAATTGCAAGGGCTTTTTCATGTGATGAAAGTGCTTTTGGGTAATCACTCATCCTCTCATACACATTACCGATGTTGTAATAGGAAGAGCCCAAATCAGGATGATTAGAAGGAAGTGATTGTTGTCGAATTGCAAGGGCTTTTTCATGAGATGAAAGTGCTTCTTGATATTCTCCTTGATTATATTTGATCCAACCTAGTTCATAATAAATCGGTGCCTTATCACTCTCATTTATTGTTTGATTAAGTAAAACTTGATAAATTTCTTGAGCTTTGGTAAATTGACCCATTTTAATCAGTAATAATCCCAATCTGTACCATCCTTTCGAATCTGAAAAGGTCTCCTGCCGGATACGGTCAGTAAGAGCTCGAAGATCTTGATCGTTGTCATTAGTCAATGTTAAATTCACTTGATAGCAATGATTATTTCCATCCATTGGTTGAATATCTCCAATTCGAAAAACGGTATGCATAGAGAAGAGAACTTCATCTTCTACATGAAAATAACTAACATCACTAACAGAAGCAAATGGAGTAGTTAAATGAGTAGGATTAATAGACATAACAAATAGAATTCCAACAAGATCAGGATTTGTAGAAGCTTGTTGGGCGAAATTAAGAGAAACATCACGGTTTTTACTAGTTGATAGGAAGTTATTAAATGATAGAAGTCCACCTTTAGTTTGCGTCATTTCGGTGAAATCTTCTTTTGAAAGACCTTGTCCACGATAAACAGTAAATGTTTTACCTAATTGATGGCTATCACATTGTTCCGAATGTAGTCGTTGAATATCACAATGTAGATCATTAATAAAGAAACCCATTCGAATAATGATATCTGCATCCATTAATCTTAATGCTTGATTGAGCATACGATATAAAAATGCATCCCATGTGTACCACCATATAGGTATGTTTCTTTTGTATGTTGTTTGTAGTTGATTAACATTTTTTAATTCGTGTTTGTCATCATTATATACTTCACGACAATAAGTAATAAATTCTTTGAAATGTTTATCTTCGAAGTTGATGGTTAATAAGATCTCTTTCAAGATCTGAGTATACATAAAGGTTGGATCTAATTGATCCAACTTCTTGTTTGATGACACAAAACTGATTGATGTGGCATTTTGCTCACATTGATGAGCAGCTTGCTTGAGAGCTTCACAGATTGATTTTATGTCTGTGAAGACTCCTTTTATTTTGGACCATTCTTTAGCCCATTGCTTATGCCATTCTCGGTTGCTACAAAAAATAAAAATGGTGTCTACTTGAGACATGTCATGCACATGAGGCACAATATGTTTTCCAAGTGAACCAGAAACAATCATGCATACTTTGTTGTTATTAATCGTTTGAATAAATTCAAGACACTGGTCGCTATCTTTAAACGTGTTTACGTTGTTAACTACACATTTTAATTGTTTAATTGTATTACTACAATCAGCATTATTTTCATTAATATTGTTGTCTAACCAAATCAGGAGGACATTTTGTATTCTTTGCATGTTCATACGTCGAGTTTCAGTTGTACGCGTGGAGACCCCAGATGATGGGTGAATTTTTTTTGTGGCAATTGGTTTGCTAGATGCCATCGACTGTGATTATTTGTAATATGAATGTGTTGTATTTGAGTAGCTTGAAAAAGTTTGTGAATGAAAGAATTATAAAAGTTGCTCATTTTATTGCGTCTCTATCTCTTATCTAGATTTGTTTTTCTATTCTCAGTGATAAGCAGAGAACGAAAAAGAAATGGTTACGTATTTTTGCCATTGTTAGTCGCTAAAAGAATCCGCGAAAAAAGATATTTGCGACTTATTTAATGAAGATAAATAGAATCCCTAAAGAGTTTTTTTCGTTCTGCTCTCATTTCTGATGTTGTTGAAAATTCAAAAGTTGAAAATTGTTTTATTGTTGCATATATTATAGTTCGTAAAAATTAATAAGATAACGCTATTCAGATATAAAACACTTATACTATTTTATTTCAGTAGTCAAATATAGTCTATGGTCTGTTTTACTGCAAACTGAATTTGAACAAAAAAAATGACTCCTTTCTATGGAACTTGCGAGTTATGCGGGTATTCACAAAACGAATCGCTTCGCCCATGGTAACGACATAACAATCTTCAGTTATTCAACACTGCACTCATCATCATGTTCATCCACCTGCTATGCATGATCTTCCTCGCAACTGGAATACCATTCCACGTCTCACATGCTACTAACAACTTTACTAAAACACTTCTCAGTATCTATATTATCATGTACATAGTATATAGTCTCCATTTTTATAGGGTGAATGTGGATGAATGGATGGGGTGTTGGCGTGAGTAACAATCTGTTCCTTCTGAACATCTGCAGTCGCATCTACGCACATCCGTCCACACCCTCAATGTTCATTTACATATTATTTTTTCCATACTAATCTTATGTTTGAAATGATTAAATAAACTATAATGCAAGTATCTAATTGACCATTCCCACTTACTTGTCACTGGATAATGATCAGATGTAAACTTTTGTAAAGGTTTACATCTTCTTAATTATGTCAGAATCTTCTGTGAAGGACATTCACATATTTGTTTTTACTTGTCAGTTTTACAAATAATTGTTGTTTTTAGAGAAAGCTTTAACGATTACCTATATATGAATGAGAAAAATCTACTGAAAGCATTTCATTGTCATCCAATTTTGAAAATAAAAAGTTGAAGTTATTCAACAAGACTTCCTGTTTTTACGAATTGAAATATAATACTTCTATCTATTTTGAAGAAATCAATAAAATATAGAAAACAAGTTGAACGTATATTTTTCGAATTCTATGTTGAGTCGAAAGTCATTTTTCAATAATCAATATGTTTATGTTATCTTTTAGAAGTAGTTTATATTCAACTAAAATTTATTTCTGAAAACGATCACGTATTATCTTATGAAACATTTCCATAAAGAACCAAACTGTTTATAATTTGTGAAATCTGTAAAATATACTTTTAGATTTTGAATAGCAATAGTAAAAATTAAATGTACTTGTATAAACATAGATCTTCTTTGTACGTAATACCTGTATTCATGTTTAATACTAAACGAAAAAAAATATAATGTGTAAATGAACAACTTAACTATATAAAATTATTACATGCAACCAACTTTTTCTGTTCAGGTTAAAGCAATAAAGAGAGTGCAATTTATGTACGAACGACCATTCTTTTCACTATATGTGATAGTAGAATTGAAATACGTTTTTTTTATCAAATTATTAATATAATCACACATGAAATTGAATATCAGTGTATGTTTTTTATTTTTGCAATATCTTCTATCTGCGCATTGTATAAAGCATATTTGTATTTTATCATGAGATTATATTTATGATGAGCTTGAAGCTAGCGATGCTTACGAACAAAAAACATATGATGATCAGTAGTTTTGAATGGTTTAAATTAATTATTAAAATAAATCACGGCTGAGTTTTAGAAAACAAATTAAAATTTACGTTACAAAACATAAGACAATGGGATTAATTCATAGTGTATATTCATACGTTGTTCTTTCGTTGAAAAAGCATCGATTTATTCACTTGGATACATCTGAAATTCTAGGATTAGGATGTGGGTGTATCAGATATATTCGAGTTACTTACATCCATCCACATCCTCAAGATAGATCTTTTTAAAATCGGTAAACGAATGGTATCAGCTCGATTTTAATATTTTCATTTTGCGTTTAACCGGAGAATTTTCTGACATTTCGTTACTGAGATAATCGTAACACAAAATGATGCCTATCGTGGAAAGAAAGCAAGAAAACTCGCAAAGGACTACATAAATACTTTGCTTCGCATCACATTTAAAAATACTTTGAATATTTTCTTTACAAGTCGGGCAAATGAGTTCATTTTTTTAATCAATGATAGAAACATATTCACACTTTATATCTATAAAGACATGTCTAGAAAGAGCATTTTTTAAGTATCACTTTTTCATAGGTGGAAAAAAACAACATACTTAAAAAAGTGCCTCTCTAAGCATGTCTTTTTGGAAATGAAGTTTGAACGTTCTTCTACTATTGAAAAAAAAATTAGCGCGTTTGCTCAAACCATATAAAGAGATATACAAATTTTTTTGTTTAATGGCTTTTAAAACATTCTGTATATTACTATAATATTCAACTATTTTGCTATATAATTGTGTTAATGAATAATCGAGAGGAAGAGAAAGGCGGAAAGAAACTCTCAGAAAAAGAAATGAATATTACTTTGATTAGCATACTATAGAGACATATTCACAAGTTTTCTTTATAATTTATTTATTCAATTGAATTTCATATTAGATGAAGATTCTTTACAATAAAATAATACAAAAAATTTTTATTATCATTTGTGGATTATTTATTAGTTATTATTTAATATATTTTCAACTAAAAAGAAATATAATTAATATATCATCGAATATTCATATTGTTGATTTATATGCAACAACTCCAACTAAATTTCAATGTATGAAAACAAAGAAATTGCTCAATAATATAAGTACGACAATATGTTTACACGAAACAAAAAGAGATAAATATGTTAGTGGTGCATATGGTGATTCGATTTCTATTTGGGAAGAAAAACAAGTTACACGTATACTTCAACTTCTTATTCGTCATCCACATCTTCATTTAATTGATATTGGTGCAAATATTGGTACATATACAATGTACGCAGCTAGTCTTGGTCGATTTGTTTTAGCTATTGATTGTTTTGCTCCGAATATTATTCGTCTTCGTCGATCTATACAACTAATGAATCTTTTTAATCAAGTTGTTCTTATTCAAAATGCAATTTTTAATCATTCCGGTCAATCTTTACGATTATCTATTGATACGAGAAATATCGGAGGGCAAAGAATACATCTATTAAATAATTATTCTTACAAATATAATTTATCTACAAAAAATCCATATATTGTTAAAGCTATAACATTTAATGAAGTTCTTCCAATATTAAATGCATATGGTATTCGTAGTGCATTAATGAAAATTGATATTGAAGGAAGTGAACATTTTGTTATGGAAAAAGGCAATCAAGTATTTGATACTTTAGATATTCCATTTGTTCAAATGGAATGGACAATAGTAAAACAATATATTAATCGTGTTAAATTAATTCTAGATTTTTTTAATAAACGTAATTATGATCCAATGACTGATTTATGTCAAATATTAAATCAAAATGAATATAGTCAATGGCCAGATGATATATATTGGTTAAAAAGAAATACTCCCAATTTTTGTTAATCTATGATACAATTTACAAAAAAAAATTCTGTTATGAAATAGTTATATTTGATTGTTTTAATTCTTGTTGTCTTTTCCATTCAATCCATTCTATACTTGATAAATCATCAGGTTCGGTTTCTTGTTCTTTAATCCATTTTTTTCGTTGTGCAAATTCTAATAAACCAAATAATATAACCATTGACATATAACTAATCGCAAATCGCCAACCATCATCGTTCTTTTTCACTAAAATACCAACAGTTGTTGAATTAATTAATCCAAAAAGAGAAAATATTCCTGCAAGAAAAGACCAAATAGCAGCATGAATAAACTTTCGATCAGTCATATACATCATAATAGCAGTAATAAAAATACATTGTAATTGTGAACCACCAGCAAAATTAATAAGACCACGATAGGAAAAACTTGATATAGTAGATGTTACATTTGGTGAAAAATGAGTATTTGAAATAGTAAAATTAGAATATGCAGTCGAGACACCATTAATAATTGTTCCTTGTGCCCAATCTGCTACAATTGACATTATACCTAGGAGAAATGCTGGATAATGACGTTTAGGAGTTATTGATAAAGTATCACTACATATAATCAAACCAATAAAGACCTATTAGAGAACTAGAAATTATTTCTATCTTTATTTGAAATTTACCATAATAGGATTGATTGATACAATAGCAATTGTTGAAATCAATACAGCAGTAATTCCAAGAAAACACAATGGTAAATAAGCGAGACCATGTATAATTGAATAAGCTTGTTTAGCACCCATCTTTTTAAATGCTGAATGGCCAATATAAACTTAAAAGAATTTTATTTCTTAATAAAATATTTTTTCTGTATAGATTTTTAATTTACACATACTTGTCATGCCAAAAATTGATCCGAATAAACTGGCAATTATTGTTCCCATTCCATCGGCAAACATCGCCTCTCGTGTTGGATAAAAATCACCTGAACGTTTAGCTGATTCAATACATTGAATCGTTGAAATAGCAATCGATATAGCTGTAGGTATTGTTGTTGATAGATAACTACTAATCGTATTGAAATGACGAAAGATTTCTATGATTGGAAAACTTGGTTTATAGATTTTGACAAAATGAACTGCTTCACGTACTGCGGAAGCCTGATTTAGTGAAGTAGCCCAACCAAGTCCTGTACCGATAGTTAATGCAACTAATGCTACAGGAAAAGGACCATATTTAACTAAATTAATATACAAAATATATATCAATAACTATCATCACGTTAATATAATTATAATTATTTCTACCTTCACCAAAATATCCTAACATTACGATAGCAAATGGAAGATATGAAACAATGGGTGTTGCTGCTATTGGTAAATATTCATTAAGTGCTAGAAAGACAAATCCAAGACCAGAAATTGATGAAAGTAAAGCAACACTGGGTGTATTTTGTCGAATAAATTCACCGAATATACTCAGTAATAAAAGAATAATACCAGTAATAAAATTACTAGCTAAAGCTACATGCCATGCTAATTCTTGGCAATAGACTTTTTCATGAGATGATATGCATCCATAATAGGTAGGTAGAATAATAACATAGATAAAAGCAAATGCACCTGGAGTATTCATGCCAAATGGCATAGCACATACATCACCACGTTTTTCTTTGAATGCAAGCTTCCGTGCCATATAAGCATAATATAAATTACCCCAAAACATGGATAATCCAACTCTATAAATAATAAAACATATGTTTTCAATGTTAAATTTGGATGTTTAATATTTTACCCAGGTATAATCTTTTCATAGACAATCTCATTCCCTAATATTGGTTGTAAACTTAATATAACTGCTAGTAATGTTGCTAACGTATTAATAAATAATGCTATGAAACCATCAATATCACCTCGTACAAATAATGGATATAATGAATTGAATCGAAATGCATTAATCCATTCTTGTGGATGAAATGTCAATATTTGTTTCAATTCATTTTTAATAATTTGGAAGCGATTAACAAAAAATCGACGAATCTTTGTGTCCGATACAGTTCCTACTGAGTTGGTTGTTCTTTCGACAGGTGAAGATATTTCGTTCATAGGTATTGACATCTTACTGTGAGAAAAATGAGCAGAATAAAAAGAATCAATTGACCTTTTCGTGTACCTTCTATCTATAACTAATGTTTATATGTATTTAAAGGTTAGAAGTAAAAAAATTATAAATGATTATTCATACATCAACGTTGATCTACTTTTTATCAATACTATCGATTATAAAGAGCTTCCACATCATTTTATTTCGAGCTAGAATTAGGAGCGCTTTATTACCATTACTTTATTACTTTTTTTGCACACTTTACTGTGAATCTCAAGACATACGTACCATTATCTGCAACTATTATGCATCCTTAGTGACTTGCATGTCTTATGATCTGCAGTAAAGTGAAGAAAAAGTCATAAAAGTATTCGAATTTAATTGAATATGTTTCTCTTGATTCTTCATTACAATTCACGTATTCAAAGAATATCTTCAACTGATGATTTAAAGTATGAACTTTCATTAAATATCAACGTAGTATTTGTGTATTTATTATTAATTGATCGAATCTTCGAAAGATTATATAAAAAATTTTCTTGTTCAAATTTTTCGTCAGATATTCATGAAGTATGTTCGTACATTTTAGTTAAATATAAGAAGCATCTACTATAGCGAGTGTCCTCTGTATTTTATTATGATTGGTACATAAAATTCAGTAGAGGTTTAACCTATGAAACGATAGAGATGATGACTGAATGGATTCCAGTCATGAAAAAAGGAATATTTATTAAAAATCAATGATGAATGCAAATAGATCTGAAATGGATCTAGAAGGTACTAAACTACGTTCTCAATTAACTGCATTTCAAGTATTAAACATTTTATCATGTTTTTTTTCGTTAATAAAGTATTTTTTTATAGTCTGAACTCGAAACAATTCGATTAAAAGTTCAAAAATTAACTGATGAAAATGAATCTTTACGACATGAATTACGACGTAGTGCTGAAGAAAAACTTTCAGGCGTTCATCCTAATACTATATTAAATTTTAATAATGATTCAAAATTTGAAATACAAAAAAGACAAATAGAATTATTAGAACAAGAACGAGATGATACTATGCGTTTATATGAACAAAGTCAACAGATAATCTCACAACTTGAAGAACAAAATAAAGATTTAAAAGATCCATTTAAACCACATTTAATTAAACTAGATATGCAAAATAAACAAGTAAATTATTTTCAATAAAAAATTTATTCTATAATAATTTAATTAGGCGCAAGAAGAACATGCTCGAACAGAAGTACAACTTGCACAAGAAATAAATATTCTACGTGATGAACTTTTGTATGAGAATTATTTAATTATTTATCTTTGATTTTATTAATTCAATTTCTAGAAAACGAAGTAAAGAATTAACAAATTCTCAATTAACTGTTAAAGAATTAGAACGACAAAATGAAAATCTTCAAGCGAAAGTTTATGAAAAAGTATAATCAATTTAAATACGACTTATATTTAATAAAATATCTATAAATTTTAGGAAGATGATTTACGTAATCATTTAAAAAAAGCAAATGGATATGATGGAACTTTTGTTGCTTTTCAAAGTTCAATTGATGGACTTGAAGCTAGGTAAGTCACGAAATTTCTCATCTTATAACAACAATAATGTTCTTTTCTAGACTGGAGCATGCTTTAAAAGAAAAAGGAAATGCTCAACAACAACGTGATGATATGGAATATAAATTAAAAGAATTAACACATCAACAGTATATTTAATATTATCATTATTATAGATTTTCAATTTCGAGTTGTCTTCTTTTTTTATATAGTCGTTTATTACAAGAAAAACTTGATGAAACAATGGATCAGTTACAACATCAAGTTCATATTCAGACTACAACTGAGCATACGAATGATGGTGGACAAGATCGTTTTGAACATGAACGAATGCATCGAACAATTGATGAACTTATTGAACAAGCAGCTGTTAAAACACGCACTGCTGTATGATTATTTTCTATTTTGCAAAAAAAGAAAAGATCTGTTTTTGTTCTAGGTTGAAGATGTTCGACAACAATATAATGAAAATTTAGAAAGAATTATGCAAGAATATAACACTATGGAAGCTGTATTAAATATTATATTATTTTTATTTCAAATAAATTTTCTTTATTTAGGAATTAAATCAAAAACAAATTGAATTTGATAAATGTTTAAGAGCTAAACGATCTGTTGAAGAAGAATTAGAAAAAGTAAATTTAATTTTTTTAAAGAAAATTTTTAGTTTTTTCGTTTCTATAGATTTTGCAAGAACGACGATTTAATTTAGAAAAAAGTTCAATTGATAATGATGATTTAGCAAAACGATGTTTTAATTCTGAACGTGAACGTGATGAAATCCAATTAAAATATGAGCAAATTCATCAAACATATAAAATACTTCAACAATCGTATGACGCTGAAAAAATAAATCATGAACATAAACAAAAAGAATTAACTGAACGTTTACAAAAAATAACCAATGATCTCGATAAAATGACTCGTGATTATACAGCAACATTTAATGAATTAAATGAATTAAAAAAAAGATTATCATCAACACAAAGTGAACAAATATTATTACAACGACGAATAACTGAATTAGTATAAAATAATAATAGTTGCTTTGCTTATTAAATAAAATTTCTATTTTAAGATAAAAAGACATGAAGAACAAATTGTGGAAAAAGAAACAGAATGTTTAACACGTTTAAAACAAAGAGATGATGTTAATCGAACAACATTTAATGAATTACGTAATCTTGTTAATCGACAACAACGAATGATTATGAAGTAAAATAAATAAATAAATATTTTCGTTATATTGTTGTTGTTTAATTTTAGATATAAAGAAGAATGTCATACAATCGCTAGTCAAAGTGAAACAAAAATCAGTGAATTAAAACAAAAAATTGAGAATATACGTACACGGAATGAACAATTACAATCGGAAAATGCTGATGTTAAACGAAAAGAAACCGAAGTTCGTTATATGATCTTAATTGCGCATTAAAAATACTTGCGAAGTAGAATCGAAAGGAAGAGAGATGATGAATTTGAGAATTCCTATTGCATATTTTGAGTTAATTACAAGTAATGCTCGTCCGAGAACTCGCTTAGCTCTTTCTCGTAGATATCCGTTTACTGGAACAACAAATGAAAAACGTGAAAATTGATTTTCGATGTTTTTTTGACCTTTCACCCACCCCTAACCGTGGTCACCCAGCAGACCCCATATTCGAACTCCCAGCACCGAAAAACCTCTAGAAATGTTTTTTTGACCTTGCGGACACACAGGCAAGCAATCAGATAATCTATGTTTACTGGACTCTTCTCTACGAGAAAGAGAATATAATAATAACGATCGCGTGAATCTTAAGAATCGCTAAAGCAAAACTTGGATTATCAATGTATTCGATAGAACAGATAAAGATAAATACAATTGATTCTACTTTACAAATATTTTTTCTTAATTAGAAATATATTTATTTAGATGGATAGAATTCTTGCAAAAAATGCGAATCGTATAAAAATATTAGAAGAACGTTTACGTGATACAGAAGAACAAGCTATTGAAGCATCAAGACGTGTATGATATTTTATTAAGAAGTATTTTCAATATGATGTCATTTTCTTGATTAGGTTGCTAAACAATTAGTACGTGATCGATTAGCTATAACACAAGGTGATCATTATTCCTATCTCCGGTAATTAAATTGTTTTTTTCTTATATATTAATATTAGATTATGTTTTTTTTAGAACTAATAATTCAGCTTCATTATTCAATTTACCATCATTTTCACCACATATTGCTCCTACAACAACGAATATTGATAGTATTGAACATCGTTCCGATGATAAATAACATTAGAAAAAACAATCTGTGCAATGATTTCTTAGAAAGCCAAAATGTAGGAAATAATACAAATTTGTTCATTTAATATTTTCAACAGATATACAAACAACAGAAAAAAATTAGTTTTATTTGCTTAGGTGTGAGCGTGTTTATTATCAATATTTAAATAAAGATAGAGACAGAAAAATTATATAATTTCACACATTATAGAATGCATCACAGATACGATCGTTAATTAAAAACAACAAAAAAAAAAGAACAAACATTTTATTAGATCTATAAAATGAATAACGATCGATTTGTTATACATAAACATTTCCACACCGGTTTTACAAATCTTACTCTATCTTTTTTCGTTGTTATATATATTGGTAATAAATATGAATTAACAGTGATTAAAATTGTTGTGTGTTTGTTTTTTCTTTTTCCAATGTATTTTCGTCAAATGAAAGACAATCATTTAGAGGAAATTTCGATGGAATGAAATCAAGAAAGTCACTGTTACATTTTAAATAAATATTAACAAAAACACATAAGAATAATAACAAGTTAAACGAAGCCAAAAGAACAGAAAAAAACAAAATAAATATTTCAAGTTTTTTCTACATGATCCATTGGTATCAATGTTTCATTAGATAAAACTTGTTTTGAATGACCATTTGTTAATATTGATTCTTTATCTTCTTCTTCATCATCATCATCATTATCATCAATATTTTGTAACATAACATATTCAACATTATTATGTTCTTGTTGTTTCGTTGTTGAACGTGAACTACACATTTGACATAGACTATATGTAATTAAACATATAA